TTTTTTTTTTTTACCTTAAACTGCATAAACACAATTCATTACACCAAATACACAAAATAATGTTCTTTTTAGCAGCATCATATGACCCCTTTAAAATGTAAAAAAAAAAGTTTGAAAATAAATAGCTTATTAAGTCTAACTATTTAAGTATTTGTTGCGGTGATGAACACCACGGTGAATACAAAAATCTGAATGGCTGTTTATACCATAGATATGTATCTATGGTTTAAACTATTTAAATGCATTTTTAGAAAGTAGTGCAGCTGCTTTGTTTATGGGGTTCCCGGGGTAACGGCTGCATTTCTGCAGTTTAGCGCCATCTGCTGTCAGAGAGTGAACTTGTTTTCATTCAGTGCATCTCCTTCACTCGTTCCGCTATGCGCTTCTCATCCGTGCTTGTTTACATGAGTGCGCATGCGTCTTTCACACAGCATACATACAGTGGTGTTCTGCATTGTGACCAGTTGATGGGTAAAATATTCTCTAAATGCATTTAAAAAATCTGAATAATTTGTAAGAAATAATTATTCACGGTATTTTGAAGTGCCCACGATAACAATATCATGCATGTGCATTATCGTGATATATCGCATTACCGAATACCGGCACATGTCTAAATAAGGACACTTTTCAGACGCGCACTCTACTTCGCCTCAGCGCCAGGCGCAAGTCAAATGAGCGCAGAAAAGGTACAGGTGAGGAGGGAGCTTCAGTAGAACAACAGTGAACTGTGGTCAGATGAGATGTTGTCAGGCCAGATGTCAGTAAAAATGAATCTTCCATCCCGTCAGCAGTTATACTGTGCTCATAGCGCGTGTTCTTCAACTGCACACAAAAACTGCACTGTAGCCTGTATCATTTCATATTAAAGCAAGAATGAAACTATAACCCGCCAAAATAAAAGCTTGCTGATTTTAAGTCTGAAAATGAACAATTTAAATAATTCAAATTAAAATAATAATTAAGGTTCAAATTAAAATAATATTTTTTTTTTTATATATTAGCATTTTATTTTTAAGTTTACTATAAAAATAATTGTATTTGTATTTAAAATTAAAAAGTATCATCACACTTTATTTAAAAAAAACGAAATAAAGTGCAATAATATTATCACTATTATTATTCATTTATTTTCTATAGTTATATTTAATGGGTCACACCATGTGCCATGTGAGGACCAAACCAAATCTCCAGGTTCTCTTCTGAGAACCAGGCTGAAAAACGTATGTGCACCCCTGGTAATGTTAGTATAGTCAACATTACATATAGTCAATGGTTAAATATTAGGGGGAAAAAAAATTTCCTAGAGACATCACTAGTATTGGTATCAGTGATACTCGCCTTCAGTCATAAAAAAAGATGCCATTAAACAAATATTAAAATTATATACTTATGTTGTTTCTACATTAATTTGAAGACTAAATGTGAAGTTACTGCAATATAAATGTATATTTAAAAACTTTAAAATTAGGTGGAATTAATCGTGATTTATTTCAGAAGTAAACTGATTATTTAATTTTTTTAATCGATTGACAGCACTAGTTGTAACAAAAATAAAATAAAATAGATGATAGAAATAATAAACTACAAAATGAATATGTTTAAGATAAATATAAAAATAAAATTTAAAAATATAAAACAAAAGATAAGTTAAAGAAAATGAAGACAAAAAAAAACTGAAAAAAATATTCTAAAATAATGGGGGGAGCTTTGCTCACACTGACAACGCAAAACTGACTTATTTGTTTTTTTTAATAATCTGAAACACAATAAATAAAGATTCCAAGCACCATACTGTTTGAAATTAGGGATGCACCGAATTTTCGGCAGCCGAAAGTTATCGGCCGAAAATGGCATTTTCAGTTTTCGGCCGAAAGAGAAAAAAGGCTACATATAATAATAAATAATATATATATGGTGCGGCGCACACCCCGCCCAGCAGTGTTCAGCGGGCAGGTTTCACTCTCCTCATCACTGCGCAGTTTGACATTCTGCTCTATGAACGTGCGTTCCGCTCGTGTACCGCTCATGCTCACCAGGAAAAGCAAAGTTCGCTCAAATAACGCGCTGACAGGAAATTTCTATGCAGTATACTTGTTCCGGATTGCAGTAGAGCTACTGTGCTGTAACATGGTGTACTGGGCAACGCTGCTAAAAATGATGCTACCTTCAGTGACGCTATGCTCTGCACTTTACAATAAGGGTCCATTAGTTAATGTTAGTTAATGTATTAACTTTGTTTTGGGAAGCCTTTTTCTGCAAGCGTCTGAGAAAACAAGCGCGTCTGATTTCGCTCCCTTGGTGACGTGGCAAAGGGATCTCATTATAATATTACCGCCCCTTAATCTGTAAGTTTCCACCCACGGCGCCGTCATTGTGTTTTCGCAAGCGACAACGGTGTACCAGCTCTAATGCTATAGTGAAAGTTTGAGCAAATCATACTAACTGTTCTGCCTTTGTCTGCACAGACGAGCACAGAACACTATTTAGATCTTAAAATAAACATGCAATTTATTTCCCAGCAGTTTACCTTTACAGACATAACCCACTGTTTTTGTAACTTGTGTGTTTTTAACGTAAACTTGTGTGTGAATGAAAACTTAGTTTAGTACTAATTATTATAGCAGCCAGCAGCCATATCACCCTGCAGCCCAAGATTGGTGGCCCACTAAAGCCAAGCAGGGTTGAGCCTGGTCAGTACCTGGACGGGAGACCTCCTGGGAAAACTAGGTTGCTGTTGGAAGAGGTGTTAGTGAAGCCAGCAGGGGGTGCTCACCCTGTGGTCTGTGTGGGTCCTAACTCCCCAGGATAGCGAGTTCCGGACTCTCTGTGGTCATTAAAAATCCCAGGATGCCCTTCGAAAAAGAGTAGGGGTGTAACCCCGGCATCCTGGCCAAATTCGCCAATTGGGCTCTGACCATCATGGCCTCCTAATGATATAATACATGATCTGTGGAGTATTTTGAGCTGAAACTTCACAAACATATTCTGGGGACACCAGAGACTTATATTACATATTGTAAAAAGGGGCATTTGTCTCCTTTAACAAGCACAACTGTTGATTTTAATAATGCATTAGTAAATGTTGAAATTAACATGAACTAAGATTAATAAATGCTGAAGAACTATTGTTCATTCTTAGTTCGTTAACTAAAGTAGTTAACTAATGTAAAGGGTTACCAATATTAATATAAATTCTGTCCAGTTTTATTGTGTTCCTTTCAGTAAAAGTGTGGTTATTTTACTGGCTTGTGTTTTTTTAAATTCAGTATCATTAAAATGTAGTTAAATTTAAAAAGTTTTACAAAATTAATTTAATAAAATAATAAATAATCATTACAAAGCATTTTCGTGCATCCAGAATTTTCGGTTTCGGCCCAGAATTTTCATTTTGGTGCATCCCTATTTGAAATACATTTACTATTTATAAGAAATCCGTTTTCATCTGAATGAGAGTAGTTTTTGTAGTGTCTGGGACTCTAGGTAGGATGTAAAAAAAACAAATGCAGTAATCCCTCCTCAACAGCATATGTTGTCTCGGGCATCAATTCAATGCAGTGGCTAGACATTGTGACCAACCAGAAGCCAAATTTCCAGTTGTCCGTCTGGTCTATCCTCACTAGTTGCTGGAAGAGAAAGTGTGTTGGCTTAGGGCCGACACCTACATTATTACTACAGCAACCAATGTTGACATTCCAGATACTAACTGTCTGCACTGCACAAACAAACGATGCAATGTAAGCCCTTACTAAAGTAACAGTGAAGAACAGGCAATCCCAAAGATCAGAATAGCAAAAAAAACAAAAACAAAAAACAAATCAAAGTGCTGTGTGGTTTGAACAAAAGCCCACATGCACAAATGTCTTTGCAATCAAAATGATTTTTTCTCTACCTTTTTGTTGTGTTGCTTCTCCAGCTTTACTTTTGCCTCATCCAACTCTTTCTGAATCTTCTGCACGTGTTTGTTCATTTTCCGGATGGTGGAATGTAGAATCTCCCACACATAAAACCTGCATAGACCCAATGAACGTAAATCAGTTACAGCTGCAGTGACCTCCCCTGCACAAGTAAGTGTGTTCTGCAGGTTTACCTGGTGAAATCATGAGCCATTTCGGGAGAAAATATCCAGTTGGCCACAGCTGCACAGTCCACAATCTGGGTCCGTATCAGCTTGTCCACCAACACTGAGATCATCTGAAAGAGTACAATGACAGCATGAGCTCTCATAAATGCCATGGCTGGCATGCAATCAGACAATACAACATATAAAATATGATGTCTGAATGATCCCACCTGAGGATGGTTCCTCCAGAACTCATACAGAACCCTGAGGATGTGCAGTTTCCCCTCATCGCTGTCTGTAAGGGTCTTCAGAACCTCATGGAACCTGAGAGAGAGAAAAGAAACACGTCCATTGCCGTTTACCAGAAGAACGGCACCTGAGCATTTTACAAGCTTAGATACGTTCTCAATGATCTGTGCTTTTAGCAATTAAAGGCAGTGTTTGTGAGCAGAAGGAGAGAGAGCATGAAGCCAGCTGCTGGCAGGCCTGTGTGGGGTTTGGCAGGAGATACTCACTTGGCCAGGGCACTGAAGGAATGACTGAAAGACTTCGCAGCCAAATGGAGCAGCGTCTGCAGGAACACTTCAATCTTTAGAGGATTGAAGCCATCGCCCCCGTCTGGATAGAAAGGAGAAGTGTGGTTACATAAAGAAAACCACGCATTTACATTCACTCACTTAGGAGATGCTTTTATCCAAAGCAATATAAAAATGAGGAACAATCTGTAATAAGAGCCAAATATACTCATAATAAACAATGCCAAGTTGAAAGTATAAAGACAAAATTCTGTGCTTTTATAAGTTAACTGCAAATAGTGGTAATGTGCAATTGTTACCTTAAAGAGCTACTTCTACCTAAGTTGCAGTTTGATCTTGATCCTTGTCTTATGTTGTTAAATGATGATTCTTCTTACAAGTTTACATAAGCTCAGAGAAGATTGTTAATGTCTGGCTTCACTGCAGCTAAAAAAGACTACTATACAGCAATGGTTTAAACCTGACATGGATCTTAGAAGATTCTGGCTGCTTCTTTTCATAATATTGTTAGTTTAGAACGCAGCACTGCAAGGATTAATGGGACTAGAAAACAAACTGTTACCTATTGGAGTAAAACAGCCCAAGCTTTAAAAGAACTGTTTTAAATTGAAGATGCATTATTCTGTGTGGTAATTTGCTGCCGTGGTTTATTTGTATGTTCCTTTTAAATTACCCTGAAGTATTATTCACTGTTCTTATGAGTTTGTTTGTTGTTTTGTTTCCTTTTTTTATTTTCTATTCACTGTCATTCAAGGTCTGTGATGTTATTTAAAAAAATAAAAATAAATAAAATAAAAATCACAAAAAAGAGCTACTTCTACCGGATTTAACCCATATAAATTAGTTTTGCAGGTATAAAGTAATGTATATAGGTTGGTTCAGTGATGTTAAACAATATTTTTTACTCAAATAACACCAGTTAATAAGCTATTTTTTAGAGTATTTTAAGTAGACCAACCATTTAGAATAAATAATTAAAAAGAATAACATTCATAAAATTAATAATAACAATCAATGAAAGATAAATACAAATAAAATAAAAATGCTTTTGAAAAGTCTCATGCTCATAAAGGCTGTATTTATTTGTTCATAACAGTGATATTGTGAATTACTACTACAATTTAAACTTTTCTATATTCATATGTTTAAAAATACAATTTATTTCTGTAATGGCAAAGCTGAATTTCCATCAGCCATTACTCCAGTCTTCAGTGTCACATGACTCTTCAGAAATCATTGTATTATAGCGACTTTTTCAGGATTATTTAATGAAATGTATACACATGCATTATGAATTACATACATAAATATTAAATACGTTATAAATATTTAGTTAATTTATTGAATAGCTTTAACAATTATCTATTTAAATTCAATTGATAGCCCTAGACCAGGGATGTCCTCAACTCTGGACCTCAAGATCCACTTTCCTGCAGAGTTTAGCTCCAAAATCAAACACACCTGAACAAGCTAATCAAGGTCTTCAGTATTACTACAAAGTTGCAGGTAGGTGTGTTTAATCCAGGTTGGAGCTAATCTCTGCAGGAAAGTGGATCTCAAGTTCCAGAGTTCAGGACCCCTGCCCTAGACTAGATGTTGCACTATGATTGGCAAGTGGCTTAATGTCATATGAGACCAAAAGGCAGACCCACCATCATCATCATCCTGGTTTGGATTAGGGACATCTTTTAGAACAATAAGAATCTCCTCATTAGATGCCCGGTTTTTGATAGCGTTACCCACTGTAGTTGCCATAGCTAATCCTGGTAATGAACCTGAACCAAATTAAAAGACAAAAACAAACAACATTACACAACTATACTGAAAGATAATATAATACAGCTGCAAAATAATAAATAATAAAACAGTGGAAGTGGTCGGTTGTCACTAATGGAACGTAAAATTAAAGACATGTACACATGCATGCATATAAATATACACATTGAATCACAGATGTGTTCGTGAGCATGAACATACTGTCAGCCTCCTCTCCATATTTATAGCTGCACACAGGGTCAGCCGGGATCAGGGCAGAGAAACTCGGAGGAACAATGTCCACTATCCGCTGATGATACGACAACCTGCAGGTTCATAATCAAGGCTCAGTGTAATAAACATAACAGCATGTATTAACTGGGTCCAATCAGCAATTATAAAAAGCAATGCAACTTAATAAAGAGATGTGAAATTGACCTCATACACTTATCCAAAACCTCTTTAACGAACTTGGGTTTAGGCTTTTCAATATCTTGAGTCAAGCAGTCAGCCCTGAAGAGATCAAAATGCAAAACTTATATAAAATAAACAGCTTTTTAACAAACAATAAACACAAACAAACAATGCACAGCCTGTACAAATAATTCCCAGAGGAAACAGCTCATCCTCACCAGTCATCCCAGCTCCATCTGAACTGGAAGTTACTCAGATGATGGGAGAACCAGTTGAGGAGTCTGAAACAGAATAATCCACCATATTAAAGAAACATTAAAGGGACAAAAGGGATACCATTTAAACTGAGCAGGATGTTGACATCACTGAATTCAATGATGAACTGTCTTTAACTGAAAAATTTGTGTTTACTATTGTCATTTTGCATTATTTACACTATTTTCCTAATTAATGCTGTTCAGTTGCTTTGACACAATCTGTATTGTTAAAAGCGCTATACAAATAAAGGTGACTTGACTGACTTGACTTGACAAAAGCTTTGAAGATTCTCAGAAGTCAATGTTGCTAATATTTTTTTTTACTGTAGTAAGAAAAGTTTTACTTTTAATGAGGATTCCATTCAAAGTCTGTTATCAGAATTCAACTGGGTAACTTTACTTTCTCAGGATGAGATATATTACTTAAACCCAAAACCTGTAGTTTCTTTCTTATGTTGAACACAAAATATATTTTGAAGAACCAGTTGTTGGTCCCCATTGACTTCTATAGTAGGGAAAATAATACTGTTTGATTACCAGCATTCTTCAAAATATCTTCTTTTATGTTCAACATAAGAAAGAAACTCATACAGGAAATACAGGAACGGCATGAGGGTGAGTAAATGACCATTTTCATTTTTGGGTGAACTATCCCTTTAACAAAAGGGAATGGCTTAGCCAACTATTCAACTTCAAATTTAAGACTCACCGGTCTATGCAGGTTGTGTTCATTGTGTCCAGCCTCATATACATCATTTCTGTGGCTTGAGCAAGCTGAATAATGGCAGGTTAAAGAAAACTACAACAGTAGGGGACACTTATGTTACCAAAAGTTTAAATTTGAGACAGCTGTGGCACAACGTGGAGGAGGAATCAGTTAAAAACACAAATTTGCATGGTTTTCAGTCAGTATGAAGGATACAACTTGTGGTAAAGAGCCCGGTTGCAGTTTGCAGAGCTCAATGAGTAACGCAGTGTACATGACATCAATGTGAGGAGGACTCGGCAGCTGGAATAACTCACCAAATATCACCTACAGAGATACAGATATAGCATTACACTGAAATAACTTATTTAAAGCCCTATTCAGACGGGATTAGTTTTCTAAACTACGCTCGAGTTTGGTTTCTTGTCACCTGACGTCTGTGATTTTCATGTACCAATTAGGACAGAACTAACATCTCTGTGTTTATTACAGATTATTACGGATTGATTACCATTACATATTGATTACCATTATATAAACATAGGTTTACTACAAATGCCATGGTTAAGCTATGGCTAGTATAGCAAAACCATGGTTAATTTGTGGTTACTTTAACCATTTTATTTTTGTATTTATTTAGTAAACCCATGTTTCATTTTTGTAAAGGTACATACAGTAATGTAATTAAAACATTATGTAATTGAGTGCAGAAATGAAGGCGAGTAATCTTACCTGACGCTGATATTACAGTAGCCAGTCTTAAGGGTTTATGTGATTTGGTTACTTTTTTATTTCTTTGCCACGAGCAAACATATCAAAAATGCACGCAGTAGTAAGAGCATCTACGGTAGGTCACGTTGGCCAAAACACACAATGAAACGTGTTGTGAAAAAAAATCTTGTCTGCAATCACAGACATTCGCATTTGGACAGGATAAGTTTTCTCAGAGGATCACGAAGTTTGCTGAAAAACAGTATGTAATTTGCTCGTGAATTATTACAGAGGTTGTTTGAGAAAAACACTGATGTGGCAGATTCGGACAGGATTAAAACCGAAAAGTACATCTACGAAACAAATTCCTCGAAAGACCCCATGTAAAACTAGTCCCGTCCGAATAAGGCTTAAGTGCCCATTTACTGTACTAACAGTAGCTAATATATTTTGCCATATTATCAAATAAAAAATGACCAGCATCATTCTTATTTACCTCCACAATATGGTAGTTAAGGGGAATCTTGTTTTTTCCAGGGTAGCTGAGCAATTGGGCAGCACTGTGAAAGAACAAAAAAAGAAAGGTGGGGGGGGGGAAACACAGTTGAAGGCCAAGTAAGTTTCAAATAATATGAAAAGCAAAAAGTAATGCTATTAGCATATGCAAAGGACTGACCAGGTCTTTCTCTCCCTCCAGTGAGACTTGATTATGCAGTGCAGGTTCTCCTCAATCACAAAGCGCTCAACTGAATGACTTCCAGGCATCACAGGCCCCTGACGACAGACAAAAACACACTTACATATACAAACAGCATCCACAAGAACATGGAACGCAACCAATTTTAAGCAAATTAAAAATGAATAAAACTGAATATACATCACAGTTCAAAAGTTCGGGGTCAGTGGGATTTTTTTTTTTTACAGAAAGGATGGATTAATTTGATCAAAAGTGACAGGAAAGGCATGTATAATGTTACAAAAGATTTCTATTTCAAATAAATGCTTTTGAACTTTCTATTCATCAAGGAATTCTGAAAACTATGTAGCATTGTTTCCACAAAATAATAAGCAGCACAACTATTTTCAACATTGATGCTAAAGAATTTAATTAATGGCAATTAAAAGCCATTTCAAATAAATGCTTATGAACTTTCTATTCATCAAGGAATTCTGAAAACTATGTAGCATTGTTTCCACAAAATAATAAGCAGCACAACTATTTTCAACACTGATGCTAAAGAATGTAATTAAAGACCTTTAAATAAAAACGCATTTTCATGTTTTTAAAGGAATCGGATTATGCATTTTTTCCTCTGATGTCTCATTTAGGGTTGGGCCAATAAACGATGCCATCGTCCATCGCCGATAGACATCACGATGTTGAGCCGGCATCGTGATCCCCCCCCAATACAGTGTTCGGAAAGAAAATAACGTGTAGGCGGAACCCCTAAAGGAAATAAATACAAGATGGGAGGAAAATATATATTTCAATATTTTTCCTCGCAGGTATATAATTGGGTAATTATACTACATACATATTTTGGCATCAGGGAGCCACTATTATACCTGGCATTGAAACTGGCATCGTGCTTTTGAATGGACGATCACTTTTAGTTTCACTTTCGAGATCGCACAGTACTCTGTTTATACTATGGAGCGGCAGTACTTGCCACACATTTAACAAGATTATATGATTGTCAGTGGTACTGAGGATCTGCAAATCATTCGCCATCATTCTCAGTCATCTCTCCTTACTCCATTTATGTGGTAAGTGAAATTTTATGTACTGTAGGATGTAACAGGCAACCGTTACACCATATCTACACCGGACACGACAGTTGTCGTGTCGCACCACGCCGCATCAGCTAAAGTCAGTCTACACTGGACTCCACAGGACTGCGGCTCTCTAGGACCGAACTTGCCTACCCCTGCCCTAACTCTTCACCCACACCGATGTCATCGTCCATCGCGATGTTTCACTGTAGACATTGTCCGGTGGCAATTTTGTAAACATCGCCCAACCCTAGTCCCATTATAGATCCAGTTGAAAAATTAGGACTAGATTTGAAACATTACTGCACCTCTGGGGCATCAGTGTAGTCGAACATGCGGAAGACGACATGGGGCATGGGGTAAACAGCGTCATCAGAGTGGGCTGGAGGTGTGAAAGGGGGCAGGTTGTGCTGCAGGGCTTCACACAGCACGCTGTCAAATGCAATATAAGGCCGCAGGATGTGACGCTCCTGCCAGCGGTCTTTCTTCAGCTTCTGCACCTGAGCCCAGAGACAGTCCAGATACTGCACAGAGAGACACAGAAGAAATTAATTACAGTGAAAAGACAGAGCAGCTCTCAACTGGTGGGTTGTAAGTCTGTTCTGATAGGGTCACTGACAAGAAGAAGAAGGGGGGGGGGGATTATTAATAAATATATTTGTATACAAACACACATACATAGAATGAATCAAATGTGACAAAAGAGAAAGCACCTTCCATTTGTTTGATAATGTCAAAAGTCCTGCATCTAATCAAACTCTATGGTAGTCAAATTAGTGGGAATCCAAAATGGGCTGGTTGCAAGACAAACCCATCCTCAAAATACATGAATAAATACATGTAAAATACAACCCAAATTGCATTAACAACTGCACTGAGAATAACTGTGATTGATATTTTGTTAGTGCTTATAGATAAGGTGATGAATCTGGAATAGATGAAGCCTATATTCGGACTCTCACCTCTTCCTGTGGGTGGGGCTTTTCTGCGGTCCACACCTGCAGCATAGGAACATGAGTCTTCTGACGCCGCCTGTAACAAAACCCAAATCATGACATTTCACAGCAGACTCCTCTGTATTTTCTGTAATCTACTTGCATAACCACATTTGAGCCGTCAAACATCATAATATCAACAAAGAAAAATAAGGTACAAATTATTGTTTTAAAGACAACATGGTATCAAAACTAGCACGTTATTCTATCAGTACACACACACACATATACACATACATATATAACTAAAGTTTTTTAACCCTTTAAAGCCTACTGTATAAGATTCAGGCTTCTAAATTATACTCAATCAAACCTTTGCTGAAAAACTTCCTACATTCTGTCATCCGATTGATTATAGTAGCTATATGCTTGTACTTTTTATAAAGACCTTTTAGCATAATTCTAAACACATCCAAGTCGGGTTGCAGTTCACACGTCTTTTTACTGTAAAATCTATGATGATTTTTATATACAAAAAGTAAGAATAACTTTTATATTGTTAGTAACTGTTCAAGACTAACACTTACTGGACTGGTGCAACCGAAGTTTACTTGAATATCCATATATAATTTTTTAGAAATCATGTTAAATAAAGTATCAAATACATTTAATGAATATTAAGAATAATTATATGTTCTGCATCATATGATCTTTAAAACTAAGCTTTAAAATATGATATTACTAAGATATTATTTGGAGAAATAGACTGACAACTGATATTTTAAATGCATTTTACTTATGTAGTCTACTATTCTATTATATAGATCTGATTCTGAACTGATTTACATTACAAGCAAAACAAACAATCAAAATTACATCTTACCTTTTGGCCATATAAACATTAGAATACTTAAAATATCAGAATAAAAAATGGTTTCCATCCTTGAGTATGAGCTTATTTTTATTTATATTGTTAGATCTTTTACAAACTTTTTGTCTAAAAGTTCAATAAACATTGTTTTTTTGTCCCAGACTAGAGCTTAATATGTAAGGCTTTACACAGAGCTAATATCATAGCCTAACATGTTTCAAATCCTGATGGTTCTACATTATTTCTCCATGAATATTACCGGGAAAATATACGACACTACAAAAGATAATGTGTTGCATCTTGCGCTTCATGGCATCTTTTTGTGCAAATGACAGTAATTTCACAGCTGAAAGAGGAACCTACTTTAAATATCCCTCAATTTGGTTGAGCAAGCGATCCATTTCCACATCCTTCTTCTCATACAGCTCCTTGCCAACCCAAGGCAGACTGGACAGCACAACGTACACATACCAGTCAGACCGCACCTGTACGGACACATCTGTCAGTCTCACGATTATCTATGAATATGATCTGCTAGGGATGCTTAGGGTCATGTTCACCTGTGGTATGTCTTCTTCCTGCGTGACACTGACAAAGTTCTCAAACATAGCAACCATGGATGGAGCCGCGATGACATGACAGTTCACCAGGTCACTGAGAAAGCGCACCTGCAGTGCACATGATGAATTAAACACCATCAAAATTTACAATAAAGTTGTGATGCATATTTTTTTTTTTATATATATATATATATATATAAATGCTAAACAGCACAAACCAAGTAAACGGCCTCAGAGTAAAGGTTTGATTTTAGTGTCTCCTTAAGTTGTCGGATCATGGCCTCCACAAACTCTCCTCCAAAGTTGTAATTGCGAGCGTTGAGAAGTCCCACTAGTGTTGTGTACACCGCTAACTTCTCTGGCAAAAGCCTTGCACTACGCAAAAACAAACAAAGTGTTATATACAACATCCATTGCATAGTGAGATTCACTTTTGAAGCAAAAGGAAACATTGCACATTAAAATACAGGTCGCTTACACAGCACATAAGATGCGCAGGATTTTGCTTTTATAATTAGGAAGATCCGCCTCCAGGACACCAGCAAGACCTTCCAAATTGCTCTCTAAGGAGGATGTACTCTGGCAGAATATACATTAATCAGTTATTATGTCTAAAATTTAAAAAAAACACTTCTGCATGAGCAGTAAGATGTGCGAGACTATACCTTCTCTCCCACTCGACATATCAGCGACTCCAAGCGGTCTTCAATCTCAATGGGTTCAGACGTCCTCCTCCGTTTGTGAGGCTGGGAGCCGGCTGGAATGAAAAACTCAAGCATATGAGTCTTATATGTGAACTTTTAGCTAACTTTGAAATTGACTCTAACAAGTCTGCATGTTTGAAACAAATGAGAACATTTCTTTTAATCAAAGTGGACAGTGTTATCAGAACAAAAACAGCCAAATAACTAAAAAACAAGCATTCAATTAGTCACTTCTAACATGAATGACAACACAATTAGCTGAATTCTGTAGTGTAATGTTGAGACAATAAAAGACATATTTAATGGTAAATAAAAGTACTATGATAGTTTTAAGAAAATGCAATGAAAAAGTATTAAATAGTGCAAAGAGACTTGCATTCTGTCATAAATTATCATAATCAAATTCAAAGCGCTTTGTTTATCTGAAAGCTTCCTATCTGTTCGAAAAGTAACATTTAATTGGTTCCTTGAGGCTTTTTTTTAAATGCAAATGCACTTAATGCAAATAAACAGACTACATATGCCAAATACTGCACCCTTCTGCTGCCACATTGTCAGACAGTCTTTCATTTGCAATCATAAGAGTAAACAAACACACAATATGAAAATTACATAAACACATCTGTCAACCTGCATGCTAACATGCTAACTCACTCACCATCACTCTCATCGCTGTGCCTTCGCCTCGACATTTCTCAAATGCAATATTCAGACCGTTGAAATAGTATGGAAAAACCGCTACGCATACACTTTTTGGAACTATTTTATATCCACTGAATAGCGTTTAGTAAAGCTTGCAGCTTTGAATGGCAACAACCGTTAGCCACACTAGAAAAATAAAAGCGGTTGATTTAAGGAGAGCACATCCGGGCTAACAGCTGCGTCAACGGAAACACGTGTATTGTTGCGACTCGTGGTGAGAAGTCCGATTCATCACCGAGAATCGGTTCTTTCTAGAAGTTCGTTTTCAAAACAATTGATTCTTTTACACAAGTAGGCTTATGATCCCTGGTATGCTGCAAAACGTGTATTCCTTGTGTCCTATTAGTTGTTCTTGCAGCGTAAAAAACACGCTTTAAACTTTCTATTTTAATAAGTGTGTTTATTGCTCGTCCCAGTTCAGTTTGTCGCAGCTATAATTTACCTGATGAATAGTCATTTAGAATTTGATTCAATGAAAAGATCCGAGTCAAAAGAATGAATCATTCGCGAATCGGACACCGGTAGATGCGACTCATTTTATCTCTACAGCCATGAATGCACGTTTAGTTTTCTTCTATGTTTAGTTTTATTAACCTATCAGTTAATAAACCGGTCAAGTGTTAACGACATAAATTGCATTACAAAAGGGTTACATTTCTTTATATGCAGGTTTTTAGGATGGTGTTTTGTTTTTAAAGTATTGGATTGTGAACTGTGATAGGTAATAGTTGGGTTTCTCTCAATTATTGGAGATCAGTATCACAATTATAATGGCAAGTATGCTTGTTGATTTGGACGTTGAGAGTCTTGGTCCAGAGGTCCATAAAGCGGACAAACCAGACTTTTCAGCAACAAGGAAACTGTACTCTCATGTCAAGAAAATGGTGAGTACAGTGACCATTTTAAGTTACACTTATTGATATGATGATTGTAGTGTTTAATAGCAGTACTTTCCCCATGGTGTTTAGACATTTGCGAAATTTGTGGCATCCAAGAAAGTTCGTCCAACCTGTGAAAACAGCTCACCAGCTCTTTGGCACTGCTGTGGACAGTCATTCAGAGAGTCATCATCAATCCACAAACATATTGCCAACAGCCATGCCAGTGAGATTCACCAGCTGACCACTGAGACACTGGACGTGATGCTCCACCAGGCTCACAGCGAGGAAGAGTCCATTAATGAAGAATCAACAGATGTATCATCCTGGATCCCTAATACAAGCCATATCCCAGAGGATGACCTCAAGTACGTATGTGCATTGCATGTTTCTGATATCATCTGCTCTGCTTATATGAAGACTGATGATCATTTTCATGGAGTTCCTCTGTTTTAGGGGTCCAGGTGAAGTTCTGCTGTATTACTGCTACTGTCAGTTAAATGATCCTCAGATCATTTGTCAGTGGCAGAAAGAGCTTTGTTTAAAACTTAAACTAACAGGCAAGGTAAATGAAAGCAAAGCAACATTTGTTCCAGACTTTTATTGCCATTTTACTGGATTGAGGTTGTTCTTCTCCAGGTACGAGTGGCTAGTGAAGGTATCAATGGAACGGTTGGTGGCACCAAAACAGCCACCAATCTTTACATCAAGGCAATGCTGTCACATCCAACCTTCAAAATAATGCAAGTACAGGAGTTCAAGGTAAAGTATCTGTGCCACTGTCCAGAATAACACTGATAAGATGCATTATATGAATTCAAATAATGCTCATAATAATCAGATTTCATTTTAGTGGTGCTTGGAGATTATGAGACTGACTTACAATTAAAGTGGCATATGTTTGTCAGGAAAGAGAAATAATAATACTTAATTGAACCAAATTTTAAAGTTTTGGCACTTCAGGTAAAGGGAGATTTTTTTCCTAAGATGACAGATGGGGTCTGAATCCCTCATAATAACTAGTGTCTAAAATCCCCTATGCTCTTCACTGACTTTTCCCTCAGAAAAGTGAAGGAGGTGCAGCGTGCTTTTCTGATTTGAAGGTTGGTGTTTACAAAGAAATTGTCCCGATGGGTGTAGATCCAGCGATCGTTTCCTACAGATTGGCTGGTAAGAGAAACACTTTACAACTTGCTTGATACATAGTACAATTGTTTATTCAGTGTGCCTATTTCAAAAGCTGGAGGTTAGGTGTTTTTTTGAAGATATTAATACTTATATTCAGTAAAGATGCATCAAATGATCAAAAGTGACGGTAAATTAATTTCTAATGTCAGTTTCAAATGCTATTCATTTGAACTTACTATTCATCAAAAAATCCTGAAATATCAAAATATATCAGCAGCACAACTGTTTTCAACAGTGATGATAATGAGAAATGTGTCTTGAGCACCAGATCAGTATATTAGAATGATTTCTGAAGGATCATGTAACACTGAATACTGGAGTAATAATGCTAAAAAATTCAGTTTTGCCATCACAATAACAAATAATGTTTTAAAATGTATTAAAATAGAAAATAGTTATTTTATATTGTAATATTTCACAATATTACAGTTTAACTGTATATTTGATCAAATAAATGCAGTCTTGGTGAGCAGTATTTCTTACAGACCCCAAACATTTGAGCGGTTATGTACAGTATATTAATCTATTGTATTCATGTGAATGTTGTACTTCAAAAAGGAATACACTTGGAACCAAAGGAATTTCACAAAGAAGTGAAGGCGTTTGTGGAAAATCAGTCCTCGGGCAATGATACAATACTACTGGACTGCAGAAACTTCTACGAGAGCAAAATTGTAAGTAGTTTGAAAGTCATTGATCCCAGAACTGTATGTACATTACAGCTAATAATAGTTCAGTATGTTCTCAGGGTCAGTTCAGTCAGTGTTTGGCCCCCAACATCCGGAAATTCAGCTACTTCCCAGACTACGTGGATAAAAATTTGGATCTCTTCCGGGACAAAAAGGTTCTGATGTACTGTACAGGAGGCATCCGCTGTGAGCGAGGCTCGGCTTATCTCAAATCAAAAGTAAGTCTGAATGGGAAAAAATTACATATCTTTGTAATGCCATTCTCAAACATGAGTATTATTCTTCAGAATGTATGCAAGGAGGTGTACCAGCTGAAAGGAGGCATTCACAAATACTTAGAGCAGTTCCCCGATGGCTTCTACCACGGTAAACTCTTTGTGTTTGATGACCGTTATGCCATCGCATTCAATGAGGACGTCATTTCAGGTGTGTACTCGAGCAAGTTTTTCAAAAGTGATTGTATGGAGTGACAAACTTAACATTTACTTCTCCTTTCCCCAGAGTGCAGATACTGTAGTTGCCCGTGGGATCAATATCAGCTGTGCTCCACAGACTTCTGCTGCCAGCTGGTTCTGTCGTGCACCACCTGCATAGAGCGCGGCCTGACGGCCTGCTGTCCTGTGTGCCAAGCCAAAGAGCAAAACCACAGCGATGTCTCCTCCGATGGGCTTTCTCACCGAGAGGAATGCGAATGCACGATGTCCCGTCCCAAAATACCCAAAGATGCATTATGACAAACTCAATGAGTTGAAAATCATCTTAGATGGCCTGCAACTTTGTGTGATTTTAAGAAGTCTGCAAAATGCTTTTTTAAAACTGTTGTACCCATTCAGTCATGATTTAAAAAACTGGACACAATACAAATCTTCAGTAAATTACAAATCATTCTCATTCTTAATTTTATTTGACATTTGAAATCATACATATATGAATGGGACGTGTTCATTTTTCCAACAATAATCAGGTCCATTCAACTCAAACTATATACAGACAAAGATGATGTACATATACACACAAAGACAAAAAACACAAGATTTAATTGCATTTCCTCGAACATGAGATCAAATTAATAAATCAACACAAACTGTCATGGTGGTCATACTTTGCATAAGAGAACAGCATGTAAAGCTAAAGTTAAATAGAGTTTACCGACGTTTTTGGCAATTTACAAGTTTCCGGCATCTGCAAAGAAGTGAACAGGAAAACATTTAAATCATTTACATAATGAAAGATGTTAGTGGACTTTATTTATCCACCTTATTCTTCAACACGGAAGTAAGCCTAAGGGTGAGAAACTGTTTGCACTACAAACCAGTGTGTTCATAATTAACATAATGCATTCGAATAATATGGTAAGACACCAATTTGCAATATCAAGCCGCAAAACGACCTGTTTTGTACAGCTAAAAATAGCTGGACACGGATGAGACCGGAAGCCAGACCCATAGAATTTACAAATGGCCGTGCCTGCTCTTACGGGAAAAATAAGGTGGATAATGTAAAAAGGATGATCTGCTAACCTGCTTTGTAAAGAAACAATTGGACCCTACTGCCAGTGTTGGTTGAGGTACCAGATGGTATCGTTGGTCAGTACTGGTCCAAACAACGGATTCAGCTGTGACAGAATAGCAATCAGCCAGCTGAAACATATCCAAAAGTACAGAGTGAAGAGCATGACAGTCAAAATTAAATATTGCCAAGAGACTGAATACAAGAACAAATGTGGCAGCAAAAATATGGTCTGCACTGCCTCCTGGTGGCTGTTAGAGAACAAACACTCATATTTCTTCAAAATAATAAATCATTCACATCAAAGTGGGACAGTTCAGACCTATTATGATCTTATTCAACACATTTGTAAAATATTATTTGTAAGTTTATTATCTGAAACTGGAGTAAACTGCACATGAAACGGCCTGGATGTGCTGGATTTCTTTTCTAATCAATACTGGAGTTGCCCAAAGGCTGTGTTTGACTTTCAGCTGATACAGAATAGAACAATCTCTCTATTTTACCATATTAAAAAGCAGCTTTTACTATTGAGTCTCTTTAGAAATGTGTAACAAAGATAATTTAAAGGCAATGTACTTACAAAAGGTAGCAACAGACTGCAGTTAGTACCAGCATTGTCACAATGACTCTAAAATGGCAACAAAAAAAAAGATATTTATCACTTCTTATGAATAAATAACACATATTACAGATATAAATAACACGTCACTAAAGCAGAGCTTAAATCCAAATGCTCTCATTTCAAGTTCAATTTGGTAACAGCACTGCCATTTCAAACAAAAGCATCACTTTTATATAAAAGACAAAAGCACAGAAAGTGAAAAACTCAGGTTTTTACAGTCTTTTATTGTTAGCAAAAGAATCGTTTCACTCCTGCATTTTCTCAATAG